CATGACTACAGTTTCTGTAGATTACATGTCTTCAACATGCCATAGATTTCTCATTGTATTTTTAAGGGAAAATGATTCTAGACGTGAATTTCAACTGACTTTTTTAGTTTTCTTTTTTCTAGTTTTTTGCTATAGGGCACATGTCCTCTCTGGAGAGAGACAGAAAAGAAAAAGTGAGTAATCATCCCCCAGGGTGGATAGCCATGCCATAATCCCTTCTTCTCCAGTCTCTTCTCAGGGCTTTGGGCATGCACACACATGTGCTTGGCATCATTTTCAAGCCTCCAGGTCCGGGTCTCATATTGCATATGGCCATGTGGGAGTCCAGCACCTTAACTACCATGCCACCTGCTGGCCTCCCAAATGATATTTCTAATTTATATTGTAGGAGGGAAACAAAACTATAATCTATCATGTGAACAAAAATGTGCACAATGTGAACTTACTGCCAGCATTTTTAGTTTGACCAGCCTTCTTAAAAATGTGCTCCAGTGACTGACATTCAGAAATCCAACTGATCAAAACTTAGGAAGGGCCAGCTCTGCAGTTCTCTATTAGCCCTGGCTGCCAGCTCCAAAACTCGATAAGTTAACTTAGCAGCAGCTGAGGCTATAATAAAATAGTGAAAGAACGCTCAGATCTAAAAACTCTCTCCAAGTAAGAAGGGATATGCCTGGGTCAGTCAGTGGCCTGGGGTTAGGGTGGCTGGATCTCACACGGCTGACTGTGTGGTTCAAGTCCTAGACTCTGAGGTTTGAGAAACACACTGGGTACATGTGTGTGCACACCCAAAATCCTGAGAGGAAGGAGAAATGGCCCACAGGGGCTGCTTTCCCAGTCTCCCAACCCCTTGTGAGTGCATATGCCCACTGGCAAAACTGTTTTTAAAAAAGAATATGCCAAAAGCAGAAAATATGTATCAGTTTATGCAAAAACACAAAAGCAAGTAACTCCAGAAGAAAATAAATCACCTCAGGAACACCCTCACTAGCTTTAGGGCCGCCCTTGGGCAGTCTGGCTTGGGACCATGTTGGCAAGTGCACTTCGTAAACTTCAGCCAAGGACGCTTAGTTTCTTTGCCAGATGTACTGACTGGTTTTCAAAAACTGCCTGTTTTCTCTAGCAAGAAGTCTGCAGGCACAATGAACCACACCACCAAACTCAAGATTTCTGTAGCCTCCTGAAAAGCCTAGGATTCCCGAACAGGCCTGCTCCAGGGGTTCTCCTTCTAGGGACCTAGGGGTGTCCAGCATGAGAGAGGCCCCAACAGTGCCCGTAACTTTCACGTCATCCACTTTCCACTAAACGTCATTCTGCCAGCCTGTGGTTTCTCTCCTCTTTTAAATGTTTGGACTTCCAATTTGGAATTCACATAGACTTTTTTCCTATTAAAAATGCTTGGATTTTCCAAAATACCCTCTGTTGCTGTAAAATGTTCATCTCAAACTCTCTCTTCCTCAGTAGCTGAGAGGGAAGGGTCCAGGAGTTGACTGGGCTTCTTTGTATCTACTCAAAGTTAAGGTCCTGTGCAGCTGCCCCAGGACCCAGCGTGGACAAAATAAATAAATAAATAAACATATTTAGGAACTCTTCAAGGCTCTGCTTTACACTTACAGTCCCATTTTAGACTCTGCTTCTAAGCATGACTAGATCCAGTGCCAGCTACGGAAAAGATTACTGTTCTCACAGACGTCAGACAAAATAAAATTTGTTTTGAATTTGAAATTTTTATCTTTGAAAATGAAATAACTTCTATAAACTTAAATAAAGCTGAAATTTCTGATTACAAAATTGGGGGGGGATTTATTAGAACTGAGTCTCTCTCTCTCTCTCTGTCTCACACATACACACACACACACACACACACACGCCTTGTTTTACTGATGCCCTAACATGTGCCTCGCCTGTTTAATGAGTAATCTCCTACCTAGCAGCCTACCTTCTTAGGTTTTTCAAGAAAGAAATTCTCCCTTGCTCACAAATTCCTGGCAGGGTCAGCAAAGGGTCCAGCCTACCCAGTGAGCTGACCATCAGGTACTCTCTCCCAGTGAACAGAGTCAGGACAAAACACCCACTGCCCCTTAGTTTGGTCCCCAGCTGGCCCTGTCCACATTCTTATAACTGCAGATTAGAATAAAAGCAGGAAGGGAGGAGCACATGAACCCCCTTCATAGTCAAATGATTGAGAAAACCAAAGTGTAGACCTTGATCCCACAATGAGGTATGTGGTTCAATCAAGACAGGATGGGGTGGTGTATGAGCATTATAATTACACCATGGAGGTAAAAATGTAAAGTGCTTAGAACAATATCCAGTATATTATAAAAGATGACTAAATAGTAGTGATAAAAGTGAAAGTGGTAATAACTATTTATACAAATCTTGTGTCAATGCCTGTGGTTAAGTTCCAGTAAGTAGAATCGTATAACCCTGGACATTTGTTACCTGCTTCATCTTCAGCAAAGGAGATAATGAACTTGCTGTGAGTACTGATCAGCCCTGGGAAGGCACAGGATGCAGTGTTGCCCAAGCAAATGTCCTGCTTCTTCCATTTCTTGGTTCTTCTATCTTCCTGCAAAGCCATAAGTCGACTAGATGAAAAATAAAACCTTATATTGTAGGAATCCATATTTCCATTCTGCAGGATACTTTTCCTCCTAGAACTAGGGATCCCTGAGTACTAGAACTGGATCTTCCATAAAGAAACCAATACTTGCCTCCCACAGGAACTACAAAAGTTGCTACAGAAATACTGTAGTCGCCCACCTACCCTAGACGAAGAAGCTCATTTTCTAATATAAAAAGAGGTTGATACCCTGTAGAGGTGGTACCACTGCCAAAAACTCATCTTATTTTTCTCAGTTATGTGACCTTTGGCTAGTTGACCAACATCCCTATGCCTCCATTTCCTCATCTGTAAAATGGGGAAAGATAATAGAACTTACCATAGGGGAGAATTTTGAGTTAAATAAGGTGATACATATAAAGATCTCACCAACGTGCCCGGCACATAGGAAGGGCTCAAAAACTGCTAGCTGATTTTATTACTATTGTTGTTATGGAAATAGGGTACCCAACAGATGTTTCCCCTTCCTCTGCCATCTATCTGAATTAAAAGCAGGTTTTTAGTAGAAAACGAAAAGGGATTGAGTAAATCCAGGGGGCTCATTGGAACCATCTGAAAACTTTTATGGAAACAGACATGCCCAAACCCAGGTGATTCTGACGCTTAAACGTCAAGAATCCACAAATCAATCAGGAGAAGGAGTAGGGAAGTTAGAGTAGTAGGAAAAAACAATGACATCCTAAAAACTCTAAGTGATGATAAAGGATCTGACTAGTAACTCTACCCCATCTCTGTAACCAAGAATAAATGAAATCTATTTATATATTTATAATATGAACATCCTTTCTAACTAAAATAGAGTAGCAGGGACGAGATTTATCCTCCCACCTTAAAGAATCAAAGACTCGCACAAAACAGAATGACATTATCACGCAATGCAGGAGTGTGAGAGATGGGAAGCTAACAAGGTGAGCCTTACAAACTACCTTGACAGAGTTGCCAGCGCAAAGAGGGAAAACACAGGCATAGCCCAGCAGACTCCTTGAGTTGAAAGGACATTTCTGAGAGTCCAGGAAAACCAATGCAGTGACAGTTTTCAGGATGGATACTGGAGAGAAGAAAACTGCACAGAGAATAAACTTCAGAGCTCTGCAAAAGCTCCTCCCTTAATTATTCATTCATATATTCAATAGCAAATAGGCATGAAGAAACTACCTAAAACAGGGGAAAGAATTAGAAGGGAAGGACCAGCACATACTTAGGGTCAGAAATCATGTAAGTATAACTCACAGGAATTGGTTAAGTTTTCAGGAAGTCTTACTTTAATAGTCAGGAATACAGAACTCTAGAGAAAGCTCCTGTTTAGCAAATACTAATAGCAATATCTCAAAGAATCACATTATTTCCAAGTAAGAATGTTTTAGAACAGAACTCACAAATATTTATAGGAATATAAAAATATTCAGCACCTAGGAAATTAAATTAATAATGTCTGCAATAAAATATTGCCAGGCAAGTATAAAAGGAGGATAATACAACCTATAGCAAAGACTGAAGTCAACCAAAACAGACACAGAACTGATGCACATGTTAAAATTAGCAGATAAACAGTAATTATTACTATATTCCACATGCTAAAATAATTAAAAAGAGACATTCAAAATATTTCTTAAAGACTCAAATCAAGTTTCCAGAGGTGAAAATGCAGTATTTGGGTTAAAGCACACAGTAGATGGGAAGAATGGTTAGTTAGACATTACAGAAGAAACAATTTATGAACTAAAGCTATAACAAATTATGCAAAGTGAAAAAAATTATGCAAAGGAAAAAAACTTTAAATATAAATAAATCTTCAATGGCTGTATGACAACTTAAGCAGCCCAACATGCATGTACTGTGTTGTCTGAAAAGTCAAGATGCATTTTTGCATAGAAAAACAAGTCATGACTTTCCCAACAACCCAATAATTAGTCTCCTAATGAGAAGAGGTAAAAGCAAGGTTGGGGATACAGATGAATATATATATTTAAAGAAATAATAGTTAAGATTTTTCCATATTTAAGGAGATCTATAAATTCACAGATCTAATAACTGCAATAAATAAAAGCACAAGAAATATAAACAAAAATTTCTATTATACTAAAGGCATATCTTAATAAATTTGCATGAAACCAATAATAAAGAGAAAACCTTAAAAGTAGCCAGAGGAAAAAAATGACACATCAGATATGGAGGAACTTATGTAAAGATGACACAAGGTTTTCTTTTTTCTTTTTTCTTTTTTTTTTAGAGGTGTTTGCTATAGGACGCGTGCGCTCGCCAGGAAGACAAAGAGAGACAGAAAGCTAGAAATCCCCCCCCAGGGGAGATGGCCACACCACAATCCCTTCTTCTCCTTTCTCCTCTCGGGATCTTGGGCACACATGCACACATGCCTGGCGTGAGTTTTAAGCCACCGGGTCCGGGACACGAACCGCAGTCGACTACGTGGGAGTCAAGAGACACAGCCATTACACTAACTGCTGGTCCCGACACGAAGTTTTCTAATTGATATTACACAACCAGAAAATAGTGGAGTGACCTCTTGGATGAATGAAAGAAAAAACATGTCAACATAGACTTCTACAGTGAAAATATCTTTCAAAAATGAAAGCAAAATAAACACTTTAAGAGCAGAGAGAATTCATAACCAGTAGATCTATTGGACAAAATGTGAAAAGAAGTCATTCAGGCAGAAGGTAAATGATAATAGAATGAAATATACAACTACACAAAGTGGTAAAAGGCATTAGGAATAGTCATTGTATTATTTTCTTATTGGTATTGTAACAAATTATCACAACTAAGTGGCTTAAAACAACACATAGGGCTGGCCTTGTGGTGCTATGCAGAGGAAGTCAGATTCCACATGGCTAAGAGTGGCCTAAAAAATACACTGGGCATGTATGGACATACCCAAGATCGTGACAGAATGGAGAAATGGAGAGAAAAAAGGATTGCAGTGTGACCAAGCCCCATTAGGAGGTTCTCACATATGCATGTATACACCTTCTGGCATCAAAACAAAACAAAACAAAAACAAAACACATATTTATTTCTGATAGGTTTGTAAGCTAGAATTCTGAAATGGTTTTCATGGAGCCAAATCACTGTTTTGGCAGGACTGTGCTCCCTCCAGAGGCTCTAAAGGACAATCAGTTTCCTTGCTTTTTTTAGCTTCTCTGCTTCTGATTTCACACTACTTTCTATCTTTTCTGTCTTCAAATCTCCCTCTACCTTCCTCTTTTAAGCACACTTGTGATTATAGTAGGGCCCACCCAGAAAATCCAGGATAGGTGAGTGCCAGACATTTCTTCTCCAGCCTGGTAGGACATTGGTGTTGAGGGACAGTAACTGCCCTAGCTTCCAGTGCTTTGGTGAAGCCTCAATCGCATGGCCTTCTGGCCAGGTGTCTGAGATTTCATATTGTTGGAGCATTCATTATATCCCTGAGTGCTGCAGCTTTCTATAAGTTTGCAGTGGCTGAACCAAGAAAGAAAGCATATGCCGATTTCTATAGAAATTATGATTCTATGAAAGATTTTGAGAAGATGAAGAAGACTGGGATCTTTCAGAGTACAAAGTGATTTTGGAATGTAAAGAATGTCATTGGATTGGTGCCATGTTCCTGAACTATAAAACATGAATACATGGGCTAAAGAATAGTTCTTATTAATAAATAAATACTGTGGACAGTAAAAAAAAAAAAAAAAAAGGAGAAAATATCCAAGATAAGCTCTCAAGTCATAGGTAGTATATTCTGTGACAGCAATAATATAGATTAGAAATCAGTAGCAGAAAGATCTCTGGAAAATCTTCAAATATAGCACTTTGAAAGAACTCATGGGACAAAGAAATTGAAAATAGAAAACTTGGAGAATATTTTAAGTGAATTAAAAAGAAAACACCATATATTTGAAATTAACAATGTGCTAATAAAGTATTGTAATTAGAGGAAAATGTATAGTACTAAACATACATAGTAAAAAAAATACCAGTTCTCAAATCAGACCTCATCTTCCATCTAGAAAAACATGAAATAAAAGAGTAAATTAAACACAAACAAAGCAGAAGGAAAGATAGATTAGAAATCAATGAAATAAAAGAGAGAAATATGGTAGAGAAAAAAGTCAGTGAACCCAAAAATCATTTCACAAATAAGATTAATAAAATTGATAAACCTCTAACTAGACTAATACAAAAAAAGAGATAACCCCCTTTTTTAATCCATATCTAAAATAAGTAAACTATCGTTTCTCTATATATTAAAAGAATAATCGAGTATTGTGAATGACTTAATGCCAAAAAATTTGACAACTAGGTGAATTGGACAAATCCCTTGAATGTCACAAAATATCAAGACTCACTCAAAAGAAGCTGATAAATTGAAGAGTCTATATCTATTATGCGAATTGAATTTGCACTTAAGTCTTTCTATATATAAAACTTTAGGCCCAGATGGCTTTACTTGGAAAGAAATATGTAAGTAAGTAAGAAATAGTATCTATTTTACACAAATTCTTCCAGATAAATTAAGAGGAAGGAATATTTTCCAACTCATTCTGTAAAGTCTACTTTACCTTGATTTCAAAATCTGACAAAATATTGCAAGAAAGAAAAATGACAGCTTACCATTCCTTCATGAACACAGATAAAAATCCCAAATAACATGCTAACAAATCATATCCAATTATATATAAAAAGGACAACAGATGATAACCAAGTGGTAGTAATCTCAGGAATGCAAGATTATTAACAATAATAACAAAAATTAAATTCACCATATAAACTAAAAATGAAAAACAGTGATTCTCTCAAAATAGGCAAAAAGACATTTGATAAAACCCAAAATGGATACCTAACACAAATTCTCTGTCAATGAGAAGTAGAAGGAAACTTGCTTAGCCTGATTAAATGGCATGTATAAAACAGCTTCAGCTAGGCTTTCCTCTTCCCGCCATCTTGGAGCCTGTGGAGGCCTGCTGGGAACAGGACTTCTAAAAGGCAACTATGTCTGGAAGGCTGTGGTCCTAGGCCATTTTTGCTGTCTATAAGTGGGGTCTCAGGAACCAAAGGGAGCACACAGCTCTTCCTAAAATTGAAGGTGTTTATGCACGAGATGAAACGGAATTCTATTTAGGCAAGAGGTGTGCTTATGTGTACAAAGCAAAAAACAACACAGTGACTCCTGGTGGCAAACCAAATAAAACCAGAGTAATCTGGGGAAAGGTTACTCATGCCCATGGAAACAGTGGCATGGTTCAAGTCAAATTCTGAAGCAATCTTCCTGCTAAGGCCATTGGACATAGAATCCATGTGATGCTGTACCCCTCAAGGATTTAAAATACTGAAACGTAAATGAATAAAAATGGATTTGTGTTGTATAAAAAAAACAGCTTCAGCTAAAGTCACACCAATATGATGGTAAGAAATGAATGCTTTCCCCGACTTCTGTCCAACACTGTACTGAATGTTTAAGTTGGAGTAAAAAGCCATAGAGAAATAATACAAGGCTTTCAGTTCAGCAAAAGGAAAGTAAAATTGTCTATATTCACAGCGAAAATGATCTTCCACATTGAAAATCCAATGGAATCTAATTAAAGAAAAAAAAAAAACCTACCAGAATGAATAAGAAGTTCAGCAAGTTTGCTAAATACATTGAGGCTTCAAAAAGTTTATTGAAAATGAATATTATAAAAAGAACTATGCAGGGGTTTTGAAATTTTTTACACTAAAACAAATTCATACTTCATTTTTCTAAGGTGCTCACTTCAGCAGCACAGATACTAAAATTCTATTTTTCCATGAACTTTTGAAATCCCTCATAGCTCAATATTAAAATATATTTCTATATACTATTAATTAATAATCAGAAACAGAAATGTAACACATTTACTATAGCATCAGCCACTATGAAATACTTAAATATATGTATAAGAGCTCTACACTGAAAACTACAAAATATTGTAAAAGTTTTATTTTTATTTATTTTTTTTAAGTTTTAATAATGTATTCTATTTAAATTACTATATCCAAATAACATGTGATAGGGACCAGCCGATGGCATAATGACTATGTCGCTGGACTCTCATGTAGTCAACTGTAATTCTTGAGTCCTGGACCCGATGGCTTAAACTCAAACCAGGCGTGTGTGTGTATGTCCAAGATCCTGATAGGAAAATGGAGGAGAAGGGATTGTGGCGTGGCCATCCCCTCCTGAGGGGTGATTTCTCACTTTTTGTCTCTCAGTCTCTCTCTGTCTTTCTGGCAAGTGCATGTACCCTATGGCAAAAACCTCTCAAAAAAAAAAAGATTTGGTAATAACCACAGAATCAATTATATGTGGGATAATTATAAAAATTAATGAGATGTCTACATTTTATTTCCATAAACTCATTATGCATTTTATAATCACAACATCTTAATTTGGACTAGCCACATTTTATTTATTTTTTTTCTAAAACTTTCTTTAAATTAATTAATGTATATTCATCCCCTAATCATCATCACAGCATACAAAAAGTAGTTTCCCATCCAGAATATACTGCATAGTGGCTTAATCATGTATGTTATCATCAATAATTTTCCATTTCTAGTTTCACATATATATGTGTGTGTATATATATATATGTGTGTGTGTGTGTGTATATATATGTGTGTGTGTATATATATATTTATATTTACCCCTATGTCTGACCCTCTGCCCTTTCCCACTCTCTCCTCACACTATCTCTTGTGTCTACAGTACTAATCCATTCCTTTCCCCCCCACTTTTTATTGATCACACAATTTCTTAAATAATCTAAAATCTGCTTATTTTTAATATCCTAAAAGATGAAAATGGCTGGGATCAGCAGATGGCATAAGGGTTATGTCAGTGGACGTCCAGGTAGTCAACCATGGTTCAAGTTCTGGACCTGGAGGCTTAAAATTCATGCTGGTTACATGTGCATGTGTGCCAAAATCCCGAGAGAAGAGAGGAGAATGGATTGCAATATGGCCATCTCCCCTGAGGGTGATTTCTCACTTTCTATCTCTTTGCCTCTGTCTATCTGGGGAGCACATGCACCCTATAGCAAAAATGTTTCAAAAAAAAAAAAAGATGAATTGTCATGATGTACAGTGAATGAATGTAAATAAATAAATTTAAATTCCGTGGGACGACATGCACCCTATAGCAAAAATGTTTCAAAAAAAAAAAAAGATGAATTGTCATGATGTACAGTGAATGAATGTAAATAAATAAATTTAAATTTAAAAAATAAAATAAATTTTAAAAAAAGATGGAAATGGTCAAAGCATCCATCAACATGGAAAATAGATGAAAAACTTGTGGTATGTCCATATAATTAAACACGACAAAGCAATAAAAAAGATAAACTACACATATGCAACAACACTGATGAATCTCACAAACATTATTGGATTAAAGAAGCAAGCCCAAGAAAAGAGTTTCATACTCTATGGTTCCATTGATAAATGAAGCTCCCAGAAGCAAAATTAATCTATAATGAGAACAGTTATCTCTGTTGGGATGTGTGTGTGTGAGAGAGACAGAGAGAGAGAGAGGGAGGAGGAGGAGGAGGAAAGGGATGGTATTGACAAGCAATAGGCAAGAAGGAATTTCCAGGGTGATGGAACTATTCTGCATCTTGATATGATTGGTGGTAACAAAATTGTATACTTTCATATTATCCATCTGTGCTTTTAAGAGACTGCATTTCACCAGATATAAGTTATACCTCAATAAACAGATTAAAATTAAAAAGAAAGGGGCCGGCAGGTGGTATGGCGGCTAAGGCACTGGACTCCCACATGGCTGACTATGGTTTGAGTCCTGAACTCAGTGGCTTGAAAATCACATCAGGTGCGCAAACGCACGCATATGTGCATGTGTCCAAAATCCCAAGAGGAGGATAGAGGAGAAGGGACTATGGTGAGGCCATCTCCCCTGAGGGGTAATTTCTCACTTTCCCTCTCTCAGTCTCTGTCCAGTGAGCACGCATGCCCTCTGGAAAAAAAAATTTTTTTAAAGGAGGGGTGGGAGAGAGAGAAGGGACATCAACCCTTTCTTACCCACTCATGAAGTCTCCAAAGATGTAGAGGCCATTAAGATTTGGTGATTCGCACCCACGGTAGACATACCCTCCAGTGACTGACTTTCCTACGGCATGACCATAAGCAAAGATAGGCAGAACATCATCTGTCCAGGAAGAAGAAAAGAGTAAATATAATGACCAAAAATTGGGAGCTTCAAGGTAGAAGAGAGTTTTCAAATGGAGTTGCCTGATTCAGTGAAGAACATTTTATCTCTTGGCCCATTAGTAGGCCAGGCAGGCAAGTAAATTATTTTAATTTTTCTCAACAGACCAGAAACAGTATTTGCAAGCTTCTCATCTGACTTTTACCTGCAGGCAGAGAGGAAGTTTTAAAAAAATCCCCCATTTATGAGGCATTGATCTAGAAATCTATACACATAAGTTCTCCCCCAGGTTGATATGGCAGACACTCAAGTTTAGGGTTTAATACGTATCATGGGAATCTGTACAATGCTTTATAACTTAGAGAACCAAATAAATAAATAAATAATAAAAACTAAGCAATGATGATGGAGTTAGAACATCGACATTTTGAGCCAGCTGGAGTTTCTAAAGCACAACTTGCTTATTGAGGTACAGCGGGCTGTCCTAATTGGGGCACAAGTAAAAACACATGACAGCCAATTTTCCCCTGCCACTGGTTCTCAAAATAGTATTTGTACGATCACATGGGAAACTTATTTAAGATACAGAGTCCTAGGTCAATTCCATTTCCCAAATTCTCCCAAGATTCCAATTCACTTAGGTCTAAGGTAGAGACCTGGGAATCTACACTTTAACCAGCACTTCAGGTATCTCTGGTGTCAGAGGCTGCAGGCCCACTGGAGAAGCACATCCCGCAGGACACAAATAGGGCACTCCTTAAAGGACCTGCAGGGCAGGACAGGCTCAGGTTTTATTCCCCCACCTCCAGCTTCAACCACTTCAACTCATTCAGGAAATCACCCCAACAGTGTCTTACTTACCCAAGGAGGCGTTGTGACAAAGTTTTTTGTCATAACATTCAAACCCTTCCTTTGCCCTCCAGCCGTAGTTTCCGCCTTTGACAATGAGGTCTACTTCTTCAAACCTGTTCTGGCCCACGTCCCCACAGAATATCCGGCCTCGGCCCTGGTGTGTGGTAGGGTCCCCTCGGTCCACCGCACAGCGCCACATGTTCCTGATCCCATAGGCATAGATCATGGGGTGGGCCCCTGGCTCAAACACAAAGGGGTTGTCCGGGGGCACCCGATACCGCTTGCCATCAGAGCCTGCACCATTCACATCAATCCTTAACACTTTTCCCAGCAGGGAACTTCTGAAAGAAAGAAGGCCGAGAAACAGGCATGCATGAGCATGAGACTGCCCAGGAGGTCCAACTGATGGCTGATGCTAAGAGAATGCTGGGAATCTGGTGACTTACTGTCTTCTTTTAAATATATACCAGATGTTAAGACTTCTCCATGTTGAGCTCAAGGAGAACTACTGGGCAAATGTTCAATGTGCCCCTGGTCCAAGTTGCCCTGGGTAAGTTATAGCTTCAATTTTTTATTGAGGATGGTTTCTCTCTGATTTGGTTAATACTATGAATTTTTTTTTACTTACTCCCTGTGTGACCTCCATGTCTGTTTTCTTGTCTGTAAAATGGATATCATAATGCTTATATTTGATAGGATGCATTCATTCCATACATATGTGTGGAGTGACTCCCTTGTTCCAGGCAGTGATCAAGGTGATGGTTATATGCCATACGCAAAATGGGTAAGAAACCTTGCTTTTGAAGGTTGTTAGAATGATGTTCTCGAACACACATAAAGCACTTAAAACAGCAGCTAGACCCACAGCAAGTGCCCAGTACACATCACCTCTCTAACACCTCGTGTATGTCCAGTGCCTGGAACATACTGCTCTATAATATTGTTGACTTGACTTAAATTGGTTGATTGATGTGATGAATAGTGGCCCACTAACATACTTTTAAAATTCTGAATCCTTTTTTTTTAGAGGTTTTTGTTTTTTTGTTTTTGTTTTTGTTTGTTTGTTTTTGTTTTTGTTTTGTTTTGTTTTGCTATAGGGCACATGAGCTCGCCAAAAAGACAGAAAGAGACAGAGAGACAAAAAGCAAGAAATCACGCCTCCAGGGGGAATGACCACACTGCAATCCCTTCTCCTCCATTTTCCTCTCAGGATCATGTACCCACCGTGAATTTAAGCCTCCAGGTCTGAGAGTCGAACTGTGGTTGACTACATGGAAGACCAGCAACATAGCCATTATGCCAACTGCTGGTCCCCAAATTCTAAATTCTTTACATAGCACTCTGAGAGTTACACTGAGCATCCATAATGTTAACTGGTAAAAAACACTATGTCTGAAATTTAAAGGGCAGAAAACCAAATGTTCCTTCCATTCGTCTCAGTGGAGAAAGCTGCATCTTGCAGTAAGAAATTTGGATTTGACTCTGTCTCCACTCCACAGAAGTCCCAGAGGCTCACTCCAAAGGGACGGAGGCCAGCCTCCATTTGGCTTACTTGTTTTGATTTGACTCCCACAGAAACACTGTACCAGAGGCTCACTCCAAAGGGACGGAGGCCAGCCTCCATTTGGCTTGGCTGTTTTGAGCATTTCCAAACTTGCCAAAAGGATCTCCACCTTGTCCTCCATCCCCAGTGAATATGTACAGATAGCCATCCAAGCCAAAAAGAAGTTGTCCACCATTATGATTTGAGGCTGGTTCTTCTATTTCCAAGATGACTCTGGGAGAGAAAAAGAAACTATGCATTAGACTTTGACCACAAACCGAAGCTACACTCTCTTGAGATGCCCAGAAATGACTGATCCAAGCCCCAAGATCTGCCAAGTCAGCCAAAACATGCTTCAGTTCTCAAGAACTACATGGGGTCCTGAGACATCTTTTGTTTCCTAGTTTGACCTTTCATGGATCCTTTTTCTTTTATACCATGACTTCACAAGCTGTATACAAAGCCACGGTAAATAACAATACTTTCCTAGGGCTTGTCCTTACTCTCTGCTCTACAGGAACTCCCAGTCCCTTCCTTTAAGCAACAAAGCAGGGATAGGACTATCATGCTCTTTCTAATTCTCCAACCTCTCTATAATGGGAAAAGAGAAAGGCAGAAAAGAGAAGGAAAAGACAGGGTAGTAGACTCAAAAGCATCAGCGCCTGGGGTCAGTTAGAATTGAGTCCTCATATGCCCATGTATCAATAGTTTTATGCCTTGTGCTTCAGCTTGCTATGAGGATGAGAAATCACACATTCAGGATAAAGGGTCTGGGATTTAAAGACCACACAAACAGAGGCTGTTATTATGTGTAATATGTTGGTACTATCAACAATCATTTATCAAACCCCTGTGGCTGCTGACCCTTACTTATCCTCTGTAAAAAGAGGGAAACTGGGCCTTAATTAAAGTAACTATAAGGTTATGGCTATGCCCTGTAAAGGCCCTTGACTCAAGAGTCTAACTTGGACTGTCCTCATTAATCAGTGACTCCTTTCTCAATATTTTAAGTTCTAAAGCCAGCGAAGTTCCCTCCTATCTTCTCAAAGACCTGATTGGCATTATTTCAGAACACAGTGCAGAGCTGTAAACTCTCCTGAAGATGTCTCACCTCTCTGATTTGGGGTCAGCTTTGTTGGGGTCTGCTCATTCCATACATATGTGTGGAGTGACTCCCTTGTTCCAGGCAGTGATCAAGGTGATGGTTATATGCAAAATGGGTAAGAAACCTTGCTTTTGAAGGTTGTTAGAATGATGTTCTCGAACACACATAAAGCACTTAAAACAGCAGCTAGACCCACAGCAAGTGCCCAGTACACATCACCTCTCTAACACCTCGTGTATGTCCAGTGCCTGGAACATACTGCTCTATAATATTGTTGACTTGACTTAAATTGGTTGATTGATGTGATGAATAGTGGCCCACTAACATACTTTTAAAATTCTGAATCCTTTTTTTTTAGAGGTTTTTGTTTTTTTGTTTTTGTTTTTGTTTGTTTGTTTTTGTTTTTGTTTTGTTTTGTTTTGCTATAGGGCACATGAGCTCGCCAAAAAGACAGAAAGAGACAGAGAGACAAAAAGCAAGAAATCACTCCTCCAGGGGGAATGACCACACTGCAATCCCTTCTCCTCCATTTTCCTCTCAGGATCATGTACCCACCGTGAATTTAAGCCTCCAGGTCTGAGAGTCGAACTGTGGTTGACTACATGGAAGACCAGCAACATAGCCATTATGCCAACTGCTGGTCCCCAAATTCTAAATTCTTTACATAGCACTCTGAGAGTTACACTGAGCATCCATAATGTTAACTGGTAAAAAACACTATGTCTGAAATTTAAAGGGCAGAAAACCAAATGTTCCTTCCATTCGTCTCAGTGGAGAAAGCTGCATCTTGCAGTAAGAAATTTGGATTTGACTCTGTCTCCACAGAAACACTGTACCAGAGGCTCACTCCAAAGGGACGGAGGCCAGCCTCCATTTGGCTTACTTGTTTTGAGCATTTCCAAACTTGCCAAAAGGATCTCCACCTTGTCCTCCATCCCCAGTGAATATGTACAGATAGCCATCCAAGCCAAAAAGAAGTTGTCCACCATTATGATTTGAGGCTGGTTCTTCTATTTCCAAGATGACTCTGGGAGAGAAAAAGAAACTATGCATTAGACTTTGACCACAAACCGAAGCTACACTCTCTTGAGATGCCCAGAAATGACTGATCCAAGCCCCAAGATCTGCCAAGTCAGCCAAAACATGCTTCAGTTCTCAAGAACTACATGGGGTCCTGAGACATCTTTTGTTTCCTAGTTTGACCTTTCATGGATCCTTTTTCTTTTATACCATGACTTCACAAGCTGTATACAAAGCCACGGTAAATAACAATACTTTCCTAGGGCTTGTCCTTACTCTCTGCTCTACAGGAACTCCCAGTCCCTTCCTTTAAGCAACAAAGCAGGGATAGGACTATCATGCTCTTTCTAATTCTCCAACCTCTCTATAATGGGAAAAGAGAAAGGCAGAAAAGAGAAGGAAAAGACAGGGTAGTAGACTCAAAAGCATCAGCGCCTGGGGTCAGTTAGAATTGAGTCCTCATATGCCCATGTATCAATAGTTTTATGCCTTGTGCTTCAGCTTGCTATGAGGATGAGAAATCACACATTCAGGATAAAGGGTCTGGGATTTAAAGACCACACAAACAGAGGCTGTTATTATGTGTAATATGTTGGTACTATCAACAATCATTTATCAAACCCCTGTGGCTGCTGACCCTTACTTATCCTCTGTAAAAAGAGGGAAACTGGGCCTTAATTAAAGTAACTATAAGGTTATGGCTATGCCCTGTAAAGGCCCTTGACTCAAGAGTCTAACTTGGACTGTCCTCATTAATCAGTGACTCCTTTCTCAATATTTTAAGTTCTAAAGCCAGCGAAGTTCCCTCCTATCTTCTCAAAGACCTGATTGGCATTATTTCAGAACACAGTGCAGAGCTGTAAACTCTCCTGAAGATGTCTCACCTCTCTGATTTGGGGTCAGCTTTGTTGGGGTCTGCCCGAGAAACCTTCATCTCACTAATCCGAATCTTTTCTACCTTCTTCTTGCCCAGGCATGAATAATAAATATAGAATTTGCGGTTATGGCGGAATTTGGGATGAAAAGCCAACCCCAAAAAACCTCTCTCATCCCCAATCCATGGAGTGGTCAACACGATACTCTTGAGATCTAAGAAGGGTTGCTCCAGACGACTCCCATCTGGGAGATAGACCCACACCACTCCCAGCTGCTCGGCAACAAAGAAGCGATGGGTGCCATCCCCAGCATGCACCATGGACACAGGGTTTCTCAGCCCATTGGCCACCTCGGTCAGGCAAAGCTGCAGGCAGCCCTGATGGTCCTCGGCCACTACACCCAGGTTTCGGTTGAGGTGGTCATTCCTCAGGACATTGGGGAAGCAATAGTCCTTGTCAGGAAGGTTGAGAAGGTGGCAGAAGCGGGAACCATCCTTTCCTTGGGACTCCTGGAGGCCACGGTCATTGGTCAGCAGAGAGATGGCAGAGTGGCAATTAGAATGAAATGCATAGCAGTAGTCAGAGCAGAGACCAGGAAGGTTCCGGAGGGGCGTCTGAGGGTTCTCAGCATCGTAGAGGTGAGCTGCGTAAGGCGAGCATTCCTAAAAAAAAAGGAAAATGGGGCTCAAACTAAGCAGTAAAGAAAAATAACCTAGGAGAAAATCGGGATTCTGGGGTTTTTGTTATCAGGTACTATTAAATCACTTCTCTTTTCTCAGATCTCCCATATTCATCATACTATCTCCAGCATTTCAGCTTAGTTTCTAACACAAAGTTTTACTAAATGATGATCCATTAAAAAATTTTTTAAAGTAATTAACTCTATATATTCAACGTCCAGATTTAACAAACATGAAACTTGTTTCTAAAGTTCTCAATATTTTCCTTTCTTATATGCTGTATCTGCAAGACTTAATTTCATTATGCATCTCTAAAGTAATTTCGATAAGTTTCATGTTTGTTAAATCTGGACGTTGAATATATAGAGTTAATTACTCTTCTGTGTTTTTCCATATATTTGAAATACTTTATAATCAAAAATAAAATTATCAGGACCAGCAGTTGGTATAATGGCTATGTTGCTGGACTCTCACTTAGTTGACCGTAGTTTGAGTCCTGGACCCGGTGGCTTAAACTCACGCCGGGCACGTGTGTGCATGCCCAAGATCCCAAGAGGAGAATGTAGGAGAAGGGATTGCGGCGTGGCCATCTTCTCTAGGGGGGGGCGATTTCTCGCTTTCTATCTCTCTGTCTCTCTCTGTCTTTCTGGCGAGCACATGCACCCTAGAGCAAAAACATCTCAAAAAATAAAAATAAAAAAAAAATGAAATTATCAAACTGGACATGCAACATATTACTACCAGAGATTAGGTGTTGCTATGCTTTGAATGTTTATCACCTCAAAAATTCTCATTGTAATTTAATTACCATTGTATGAGTATTAACTGGTGGCACCTTTAAGAGGTGATTAAGTCATGAGGGCTCTGTCCCCATTTTGCCCTTTCGCCTTCTCACCTTCCTCCCCCGAATCATGCCACAAGAAGGGGAATGTCAGCACGTTTATATTGGACTTCCCAGCCTTCAGAACTACTGTGAGCCAATACTTTTCTGTTCATTATAAAGCACCCCATGTATAGTATTCTGTAATACTACAGTCACACAAAGGACTAGATAGGTATTTCGCAATCTCTTCATTTATTTATTTAAAATATTGAGTGTTGGACCAGCAAATGGCGTAAAGGTTAAGGTGCTAGATTCCCACATGACTGACCATGGTTCACGTCCCAGACCCAGCAGCTCCAGAATCACAATAGATAAGCGTTTAAAAATGTGTATATATTGAGTGTTCAGTACACGCAAAATACCCCCGTAAGAGCTATACCAATTTAAATTGTGGCTACAAGGCAATACAGCTGCTCTTTACACAAGCATATGAGGACCATATGAAACACACCCAAAGGTGTACCTGGCACTTAAATCTCCCTAGACTAATGTTTTCTGGGTGAAAAATACAATCTCATGGGCAACCAACCAATTCCCAATCATGATGAAAGAAAGACTTAATGGAGATTCAGAAAATAATAAAGGTGGATTAAAGGGTATGGTTGTGGCCACAGCACAGAGCAGAGTCCACTGGCCCAGGAGCCCCCTTCTTATCACTAATTTTTCCAGTCTTGTGCAGAACCGACTCATCCACTTGTGCTCTCTCATCACTTAACAAAAGGACCAGCAGCATCTTTCATGTGCAGCTGAGTTCCTTGTTCTCTCTTATTTCCCACTGATTATAGATTGTAGAGCAAGCTCTTGGTTATCAGGGCCAAGCTCTTGGCCCCTCAGATCAAAATAGTCCATGGTGTCCCAGTTCCAGGCTGTCAGCTCTAGTTTAGGTACTTGTCAGAGCTGCTAACGAGAAGCAAAATGAACTGCTCTGAATCCACCTCACAGACTCCGTGGGAAAGAAAAGTTAGACTTGTGCTCATGGAAATGTGTGAGGGAACTGTGTTTGCTATGAGGGTATTTGGATTGATTAGGGTCTTTGGTGATTCAATAAAATGTGGGGGGGGAATGGTATAGAAAGCAAACATAGATACCAGAGACAGTGTGGGAAGAGAGTGGGAGGTGGCAGAGGGTAAGAGATAGGTAACCAAGGATCGGGGGAAAAAAGCAAAACATACAGAAAACAAGAAATGGAAGATCATTTGCTGACAATAACATGTTTGTTGATGTGCTTGATTGAGACAATATACAGTATACTCTGGATGAAAAATCTCATTTTGTATGCTGTAATGATGTACAGTGAATGAATGCAAATAAATAAATTAAAAAAAAAAAAAAAAGAGTGAGGGAACTGAAATAAAGATGAAATACCAGGGAACAGAAAAGGCCAAAACACTATAACCATGCTCATGGCACACTCTGTGTAGCCATGTAGAGTTTGCAAAGTTGCTTCTATGCAATTGGCTCACTAAATAAATATTTCTCTACTTTCAGGGTAAGAAAACTAAGGCCTGGA